TTTTCTTCTTCTTCTTCTTCTTCTTCTTCTTCTTCTTCTTCTTCTTCTTCTTCTTCTTCTTCTTCTTCTTCTTCTTCTTCTTCTTCTTCTTCTTCTTCTCCTTCTTTCTTTTCTCCTTCTCCTCCTTTTCTTCCTCCTCCTCCTCCTCCTTTTCTTTTTCTCTCTCTCTCCCTCTCTCTGGTGCTGAGAATGGAACCTAGGGATTTTCCTACTGACCCACATCCCATACTTGCCATTTTGTTTCTTACTTTCAGTATAGCAATCAATATGTTACAGAGATAATTGACATTTCATTGTAATTTGGGTCTTGTGGGAAGTGATCTTGTTCAACTGTAGGCTAATATGAGTGTTATGAGAATATTTGAAGTGGGCTAGGTTAAGCTATGCTATTCACTAGGTTAGGCATGTTAGACACACTTTCTATTTATCCATATTTTATCCATATTTCAACTCATGGTGGGTTTATCTGATGTAAGCTGAAGAGTGTCTGCATTTGCCTTTTTGCCTTTTGCTATAGATGAAGGATCTGTGCTCCTATTCAAGGCCACCCAACTTGTGCATTGCATCCTCCTGTCCTTCCTAAAAATTTCACTCTTGCAGTTATTCTCAGTATTTCCTTCATCATCAATTTATCTTCTTTTCTGGCTATTTCCATTAATGTTTAAATGTTCTAAAAATTTCTCAACACCACAGTCCCCTAGATACTTCTTCATTTTTATCCTTTCTTTCCTTCTTTCCTTCCTTCCTTCCTTCCTTCCTTCCTTCCTTCCTTCCTTCCTTTTATCTTTCTTTCCTTTGTATTAGACATTGAACTCAAGACCTTCACGTACAGCTACATCCCCAGCCCTTTTCATTTTCAGTCATTGTTTCTTGAAGTTGCTAATTTGCCCAGGCTGAGCTAGAACTTGTGATCCTCCTGCCTCAGCCTCCCAGAGGAATTATAGGGTGTGAAACCTCTTTCCTTTTCACCCAAACTTTAATGCGTTGCTGTCATTACTTCCTCACTTGCATTCTCTCCTTAAGCCACGGCACCAGCATTCCCATTGTACCACCTGACTTTGTCACGATCACAGTGACCTCCTCCTCCTCCTGCAATCCAGATAACACGGCCTCCAGTTATCTGACCTCACAGTAGCATCGGGTATGTTTTCTTTTCATCTGCGGGACATCCCCTTCCCTGCCCCTCCTATTTCAAACTTCTTTGCTGGCTTCTCTTCCTCCTCTGATTTCCAGATTCTCTGTGCCCCAGAGTCCAGCCCTCATCCTCCCTCAACATTTTCTTTCCATAGCTGGTCTCATTGAACACCACGGCTCAAATGCTACCCACCCGCTCACAGAGGCCAAACGTGCATCTCAGTGAAGACCTTTCTCCAGAGTTACAGGCTTAACACCTCTGATTGCCTACTTGCCCCTCAAACTGTGCATCTTCCAACACTCCCTCCCAGCACAGCTCAAGGTCAAGACCTAGAAGTCACCTTGCAGTGCTTTTTTTCCTTAATTCTCTGCAGCCAATCTGTTAAAAAGTTTTTCACCTCTACCTTCTCAGTCTGTCTCCAGCACACCCATGTTTTTTCCACTTCCTGTCTCCCACTGCATGTAACCCAAGCCATCATCCTCCCTACCGCGAACTCTCCAACAACTTCTAAACTCCCTCCTTCCCTTTGTAGTCCCTCTTCCAGCCAGCAGCCCTTATGACATTTTGAAACATACATTTGCTCGCTCTGCTCCTTTGCTTACAGCCTCCAGGAATTTTCCATCCCCAGCTCCTTGCCACAGCCCACGACGTTGGACACAACCAGCCTCTGACCAGGTCCTCCAGGCTCTCCCAGTGCCATCTTTCTCTGCTTCCTGGTGGCTACTCCACGCTGCCTTTCTTCCTCTCCAGTGGACACACCGCGTCCACTCCCACCTCCTCGCCTTGCTTGTGCTCTTCACTCTGTCTGGAGCATTTCACTCCCATCTCTTTACATGAATATCTCTGTCTTGTCATTCAGGGCTCAGCTCAAATGTCAGCTCAATTCAAATGATTATCCATTCTGAAATAGCCTGAGCAGGCATAATTGCATTGGTCTGTTTAATTTTCTTTATAGCATCCATTGCTCGCTGAAACGCCCTAGTTTATTTACCAGCTCTGTGTTTGCCTCTCTGTCCCCCTCCCATTGACTCCCCCACACTTATTCATACACACGTAAGGGCTGTGATAGCAGGGACCTTTCCTGTCTTGTTCACTCTTGAATAAGTGCATGGCACTTAGTAGAAGCTCAATAAATATTTGGAGAAAAATAAACGGAGGTGAGAGGAGTCAATATTTCTGTTGTCAATCATGCTAGGGAGCAGCCAGCACTGGGCAGGGACACAAACACTCATAGGAAGAGCTGATGGGAGCAATGGAGCAGGCTTTTCTCTCTGAGGGGACTTCCGGCTGGCTCATCACTGTGGGATGTGCTTCCTAGGACTTGAGCTTCCTGCCCCAGGGTGTGGGTTGCCTGGTGTCCGTGCTGCCTGGCTTCTGGAAAGTGCGTCTCTGTCACTTGCTCAGGTCTATCCCTGGGCAGAGACACAGCCCAGAGACACCGTGAGGGTGACCAGGGCTGGGAGCTTTAAGCTCCGTTCTAGGACAGCTGTGTGCTCCTCCCCTCTGTCACTGCTCAGAGAGGATCCAGGGAGGCTGCAGGACAAGCTGCAGCGTAAACTCTGCCGCTCTGTGTGGAACTAAGAGGGAGACTCTGCACCTGGAGGAGGAAGAGGGGGACAGGAGAGGGTGGTGGTGACAGCAGCTCAGGTGGAGAAGCTACAGTACCAGGATGCAGAGGTACCTATGGTGTGCGGGGCTGGGGGGGACAGGGGGGTAGAGGTGGTGGCCGGGACCCACAGGTGAGGACCACTGGAAGGAAGGGGAGGGCCTGCTTCTTGTGGGTGAGCACTGCAACGCTCCATTCACAAACACACAACCTCCCCATACTCGCAGACCAATGACACCTAAGATATATGTGAGACATCGATACAGCTGCTTCCAGGGCAGTCAGCAGACACCTGGGACTTGCTTAGTGATGCCCCGTGCTGTGCAGTGGCGGCCTCCTAGGGGGAGTGATGGGGCCTAAGTGAGAAAATCCACAGGGAGCTCGGAGCCCGGCGCTGGGGACAAAGGTGCCTCACACACACATGACCTGGTTCGTTCTGTGAGTAAATGCCTGGAGGAGCTATCAAGGAGAAATGGAGAGGCTGTGAAGGGTGTCTCCCACTGTGACCCCGTAGCGTGGTGGAACTCTGACTGCCCGACTTCTTGTGCAGGGTGGCCCTCACCTCAATCACTCCGTTGGTCCTCACAGGCTCTTCCCACTGGAGTAGCAACGCCCTGCCGTTCTCCTGCTGGTCCACGGTGAAGTTGCTCAGCCCACTCGGGGAAGATTCTAAGGTCTGAACCAGAGTCCAAGGACTTGAAACTTCTCCTGCGCTGTTGGCAGCCACCACACCCACGTGGTATGTTGTGAATGGCTCCAACCCGAACAGGTGGGCTTGACGGCTTGTTCCCTGTAAGAGAGTTGACACGTTAGATCTGCAGATGGCTGGAAGGCCACTCTGCGAAGTACATGGCCAAAGGCACTCCCGTCACCACAGAGTCCGAAACTATCACTGAGAAGCCTCTCTTTGCTCTTGTTCTTGCTGACACCTTGAACATAGTACCTCAGGCTGTGTGATTCCAGACACCCAGAAGGTCTGGATGAGATAAACTTCTTGAATTTTCAGAACTTTCAGCCAAAGGATGTGCTATGTGAACTTTTAAACAAATCTATGAAGCTTCAGATTATGCTGCATGTAGCTCACAAGGAAATCAGTGGCCACACTTGCACTGCAGAGATGGATAATTGCCCACTCATTTAATCTTAAGTGTTTGGAGATTTAATCCAAACAATCCAAATTCTCTAATCTCCAGTGCTATTTATTTATACATTAGACTCTTGAATCTCCCCAATCTTCCTCTCTCGTTCCCTTGCTGCGGATTTATGTCTCACAAACTTCATAAAACAAACACACACAAGAAAACAGTAATGAACCCACTGAACTATAAATGCACAAATACCCCAAGAGAAGTCTACAATTAATAGAATTGTGAAAATGTCTGCATTTGTTAAAAATACCGTAACTGAAACTACGAAAATAATTATTACTGAGGCTTTGAGAATTTGGTCTTTATTGACTGAAAAGAAAAGAAAAAAAGGGACAACAGATCTTTTTTTCTTATCTGCTCGGAGAAAAAACGTTTAACATATTAAGCATAAGGAAACTGGAGCTAAGAATCTTAATGTTTTCAAAGGCCCTGGGGTGCTCTTTCCACATCTGGACTGGATGGGCTTGTCTGGTTAAGGTAGGAATTATGTCTTCATGTGGGGTGATAATGTTTGTGTAGGTAAACACACACACAAATTAGCATTTCCTGTTGTTTACCATACTCACTGCCAATTAGGAAGTTTTGACTGGGGTAGTTAAGATATTTACATTTAGTAATGTGTGAGATTGGTTTGCGTTTGCTAGATGTTTACATGTGATAGTCTTCCATTGTCTTCTTTTTCTGTGGCTGAGAGAGGTGGAATATTGGTGGGGAAGAAGATCTGTTATGGTTTATATCCAGACTGTGTCGTCCCCACCCCTAAGCCTCATGTGCCCATAGGCCAGAGCTTTGGGACTGAACTCTCACGGGTATGAGATACTGGGTCACGTGCGTGTGATACTGGATTAGTTCGCTGATTGGTTTAGTGCAGCTCTAGGTGTGGATGATGGCAGAATTACCCTAGGTGTGCATGGCACCAACCAGCAGGCTTACAGCCTGGATGGAATAAAACAGGAAAGAAGAAGGAAGGCTTGCTTCTTCCTGCTTGCCCTGCCATGGACTGTTTCTCCTCCATTGTGCCCCTCTTCCGTGCTGCCTTGCCTTGGAGCCAGCTGACTATGGACTGAAACCTCTACAAACTGTGAGCTAAAATAAACCTTTTCCTTCAACTTGTTGGTGCTGGGTATTTTGTTCCAGCAATGAGAAAATGTCTAATACAGGATTTTATTTCTGAGAGTTGGTACCCAAGAACATCAGATACAGTTAAATGTAAGGAAATTCTTTTTAACTTGGGGCTATAAAAAGTTTGGATAAATCCAAAACAAGGTGACAAAATTAAACAGAATAATTTTTAAAGCAAACTTGTTAGACAAACTCAAAATAATGTAGAAATAATTTTTCACACTATTTCATCACATTCTTAGTTATAAAGTTCCAATTGTGTTCATGTTTTTTATTATGTGTTAAACACAGGCAGAGAAAAAACATTTCCTTTTACCTATCGGAAACCTATAAAGTCAATTTTCCTATTTCAATAAGTCCCATTATGATATTACAAGCTAACCTCTTGGAATCTTTTAATATTTAAACGTTTGCTAAGCGACCAGACTCTGAAACAAATTTTACAGAAATACTAATTTCTCTTTTTTAAAATATTAAAAGTTAGATCATAAATATTTAAAAACTTATTTCTCCACAACATTGGATTGGTCTTTTAGATAAATATAACACAGAACTAGAATGACCATAATGAATATTAAATCTGAGGATGCTACAAGTGCTGATTACAAACATTCTTCTCCAATAAATGATTCCTTTTCTGTGGAAATAGGGCAAACATGGGCAAGATTAATAATGCAAAAAAGAATAATTCTTTGTTCAAGAATCTTCAGTAATAGATGCCAAAAAAAGCATACGCTTCAAAGCAAATTGTAATCACCTCTAACAGATTATATATAAAAAAGGGAGGGTGTTGGGGGACACTTAGAGATCGCTTTTGTCATAAGAAACATGAAAACATGTGGGCTATAAAGCAAAAACATATGTATATTGTCAATAGCAGCACCTGCTCAATTACAGTTTATCTCAGAGCTGAGAATTGCACTCAGCCCCTAGATGGCAATACTATCAAACACTTTCAGTAGCACGAGTACTTAATGATTAATAACCAGCATTCAGTCATCCAACACACTCCAGGCAACCATTAAAAAAATAACAAAACTGATTTCATTATAGATTCTTTTAACAAACATTTATGGCTCAGATCCTTGAGAGTAGAAGTATTCAAAATGCCCTGGCCTTAAAACTCCCACCATCTAACATAGAAACATGACCTGCTTGTCTCAAGTTCAACTTCACACATGCCTGGCATAGAAATTATTGCAGATAGGACCTGACAGGGGGTGATTAGAACAGTTAGTTTGCTTAATCTGGTCTGCATTTATCTTTAAAAAACAAAGAATTAACCACATATTGGGGTAAGGAGGAAAACTTCCTGTATAATGAAATTTAAAGTTCTCATACTAATTTGTTATCCCTCCACAAAAAAAAAATTAAAAAATTTTAAAAAATCATACATCCCTTACATATACTTCGACAGTAGGCATGCTTTTTGTCAATGACTAGCAAAGGCCAATTGAAAAAGCACAGAAAATCTAAAAATGGCAATCCTTATCAATTTATTTGTCTACATGTTATAAATTTATGTTATTCTTTTCTGAATAGATTTTTAGCACCAAAGTTCACTTTAGAATCCTGCTGCAAGATCTGGATGTAGTTTCCAATATGAATTGGGTTGTGTCTTGTTCATTGATTCAGTTACTTGTTATTTTCTTTAAACTTGCTTGAGAATTGTGGGTTAAGTGCTGAGGATACAGTTCCTTCCTTGGGAGCTGGAACAAAGGTCATCATTATGAAAATTTCCCTCCTCTCTCTCCTTTGCTTTGCCTGGCTTTTCCCCCCTTCCACCCTGTTCTGTTCCCCCCTCTGCTTCACTCCCTTTTCTCTTTGGAGAGTATCTGAATTTGATAAATTTCTTCTCCTCCATCCTCATCATTTTGTTCTTTCCTTCCCTTCATCCCTCCTAGCTATTGATCCTTTTGAGCTACATTTCTTGTTACCTTTGCCTCTGGGCTACCAAGTTGCGCTGACTCTCCTTTATCTTCATCCATTCTGTACCTGTGTGCATAACCTTCCCATTGATATGTACATATATATAAAAATTTTTAAAAATCTAGATGTCTATTAGCTACTTTTGTTAGACAGCAGATGAAGAGGACAACTCAACAAAGGAAAAAGAGGGAAAAATGGTATTAGATAAAATCCTTTCTCTATAATCTAATATTTCCAATGAGCTTTAGCCTCTTTTATTTTTAAAATTTATATGTATGGGGGTCAGAGTTGGGATACAAATGGGTGCGTCACTTGATAAGGCATAAAGACAGGACTCTCTGGAACATTCTGCCAGTTGAGGTTCTGCTGGTAATTTGAACTACATTTTAACCTCTCAACTCTGCTCCTGGGGACACATGAAACTACTTGGAGTCTTCAGCAGTCTGACAATTTTACACCATCTCCTCTGATTATTTTTGACGACTTGAAGTGCCCCACAGGTGGCCATGGGGTCAATAGGTTTATGTAGGTTGAAAATGATCAAAAATTACCATTGATCTCTAGCTGTCAATAAAAGGCTGCATGGGGATACTCCCTGCACAAATGTTTAAACTACATAAAGCTACCTAACTTAGTCATCTTTGAGTCTATTGATCTGATGATCCAGCAGTTTCCAGAGCTTTCCCTGTGGTCTTTGTGGTGCATTTTCACTAAACCCACTTACTTTAGCCCTGAGGACTCTTTTCACCCTACTGCCAGTAATGAATCCAAACTGTGATGAGTGAGCCCGAAGTGTTCATGAGCAGAGCATTATGTGTGCTTACTACACTTAGGAAAGGGTTAATCTTCCTGCTCTCCATCCACTTCATTTCAAGCCAGAGGGGTTTCTTCTGCCTTTGCTTGTCATTTATTGTTCTCTCTCATCCTAAAATTGATGAGTTGTGGCTTTTAAATCCTGACCAGCTGGTAGGGTTCTGTGTCCTCCTTAGTTACCATAAATACCCAGTCTCAGAGAGTAAGTACATTAAAAGTTTGCCTTTTCCCACAAAGCATAGCTTCAAAGCAATCTAGATTTAACTATGTCAACCACCCAGATACTTCAAGTTATATTCTACTTTCCTGTTACAACAAAACAAAGGAAGAATATAGTCAACAGCCGGAGGTTCTGGTTTAGATAACAAACAAACAAAAAAAATGTCAGAAGCTCTGATTTACTGCTACCTTAAAGCTCGGGGATGTGGACGGAGTGCATGCAGTTACCTGGGTGACTTTTATACAGGCAGTAATGACAAGCCAACACCAGATGTTTTGCTGGATTTCGGAAAGCCAGACAGTTTGAGGCATGAATTGTATGAGATCATTTTTTCTTTTCCATTTATAAAGTTAATGTTTAAGCTCCTCAAAGGTCAATCAACATATTTATATCTAGTATTTATTTTTTAAAAAATCAAACCAATCTTGATCTTTTGCCCATCCACTAAGTCAGAGATGATATTTCTTTACTCTCTGCTAGACAAATATCAAACTTGAATGCGTATCCATGATAAACTAAGCGTGAGTCTTTCAAGCCTGCAAGAAGTTGACACTGTCA